GAATATACACACATGTATATATATATATATATATAATTTCAGTTTGTGATTCTTTATGCACTTATCAGTCAATGGACATATGGACATTTGGACTTTTTCTGTTAAGTTGGCCATTGTTCATAATGCTGCTGTAAACATTAGAGTGCACGTATCCCTTCGAATCAGTATTTTTGTATACTTTGCGAAATACAATTTTTGGGTCATAGGGTAGCTCTATTTTTAACTTTTTGAGGAACCTTCATACTGTTTTCCACAGTGGCTGTACCAGTTCACATTCCCACCAACAGTGTAAGAGGGGGTCCCCTTTCTCTTCATCCTCGCCAACACTGGTTGTTTCATTTGTTGTTAATGTTGGCCATTCTGACAGGTGTGAGGTGATAGCTAATTGTAGTTTTGATTTTTATTTCCCTGAGGATGAGTGATGTTGAGCATCTTTTCATTTGTATGTCTCCTTTAATTACCTTGTTGGCTACAGCCCTTTGTTGTTTCTGTTTTTTACCACACCAGTTTACTACCTCCAGCCACTTCATCTGAATTCCATTCCCTTGAAATCTTGGAAATTTGCCTTTAGGAACTCCATAGATTCTTGACTGCTGATGCAATATATAGCCATGATTTCAAAAAGTTTTACCTTTTTTTATTAATTGAATGTATGCACATGTCAGTCAATTCTTTCATTTGTTCTTCTGTCCTTCTTTTATCATCCTCTTTAAAAATTTTCTCCCCAGGCTTCAGTTGACCAGCTGCTTTTCATCTTTGGACCTCTTTTCTTCAGTTTTCCCATTTATTTGATAATATTTTTATACTCTTTCATTTCCATTCAAAAAATTCCTCTGAATATTCCTCTGAATATTAAACTTAAAACACTCAGTAGTTATTTTAGGGTATCATCTAATGTATCCTTAAGTTTCTTCCAAGTAAGGAGTAGCAAAGAGTACAGGTTTAACTCACAGGCTAGACACTTGTCCTGGGTGACATTGATGCCTTGCCTCTGCCCTGTGGTTCCAATCTTCTTAAAGCTTCCAGTGACCAAATGTGGAGGTCTTAGAGATTTGGACTTCTTTCTATGCATTATAGTACTCTGTGTATGTGAAGTGTATTTTATTTTTTTTAAAGCAGTCTTATGAGGATGTGATTCATATCATACAATTCAGTCATCTTTAGTTAATTTTTGTCTATGGTATGAAGTAGTGTTGACTTCATTCTTTTGTGGTTAGTTATCCAGTGGTCCAAGAACCATTTGCTGAGTAGACTATTCCTTACCCATTGTATGGTCTTGGTGCCCTTGTGAAAATAAGTTGACCATCGATGTGTGGGCTTACTTCTAGAGTCTCAGTTCTTAGACATTGGTTTAATGTCTATACTTGTGCCAGTATCATGCTGTGTTGATTACCATTGCTTTGTATTATGTTTTGAAATTGAAAACTGTGAGTCTAAATATTTAGTTCCACTTTTGTAAGATTGTTTTGGTGGTCTGGATCCCTTGCAATTCCATATGAATTTTAGCATCAGCATTGTCAGTTATTATAAAGAAGTTGCTGGGCTTCTCACAGGGATTGCATTGAATCTGTACATGATTTTGAGGAAATATTGCCATCCTAACAGTATTAAGTCTTCTAATTCATGAACATGAAGTATTTTCCTTTTATTCAAACTTTCTTTAATTCCTTAAACGGTGTTTTATACATTTCAAAGTTAACAAATTTTGCACTTAAGAATTATTCCTTAGTATTTCATTCTTTTGAAACTATTATAAATGGAATTAATTTCATTTTCAGATTGTTCATTCCAAATATATAGAAATTGAGTTGACATTTGTATATTGATTTTGTATCATGCAACATTGCTGAACTTGTTTATCAGTTCTAGTAGTCTAGATAGTGGATTCCCTAAGATTTTCAGTTATTAATTTCTTTGGGAACAAGGAATGAATCACATCATTATAAAAGCCTTTATATCCCAGTTCTTCTGCTTAGTTTGAGGAGCAGTTCTGGAATTACTGCGTCATTGCTTCAGAGTTCTTCCCTCGCCCCCATGCTAGGCCCTAGCCCCTTTTCTTACTTTTCTCTGTCATTCATTGTATCACTGGAAACTTTGGGCCTTAAGACTTGAAACTCCGTGATTAATGGGCTGGGGAATTATGAATATGGTTTTCCTTTGCTGTGTTGTAGTGGTTTTGCTAAATGATTATCTATAAATGCAGTATCAATGTTTATATTTGGTTGGGTTATTGGAGTGACAAATAGTAATTTGATTCTAAAACTGTTGGGAATGATAAAGTGCTATATAAGCTATTACTGATGATAAAAATGAAATAATATTTTTGGGGTGCCTGGGTGGCTCAGTTGGTTAAGTGTCTATCTCTGGCTCAGGTCATAATCTTGGGGTCTTTATTTATTTGCTTGAGAGAGAAAATGCAAGCACATGAGCAGGGGGAGGGGGAGAGGAAGAAACAGATTCCTGGCTGAGCAGGGAGCTTGAGGTGGGGTTCCTTCACAGGACCCCAGGATCAAGACCTGAACTGAATGAGCCCCCCAGGTACCCCAAAAGTGATTTAATATTAAAACTTAATTTGGAAAAAAAAAACTTAATTTGTCTCTGCAGTAGTTTTTAGTTGGTTGTTATTATTTTAAAGGTCAGGTTTACCTTGTGGTTAAGCTGAGACAGTAGTCTTTCCCACACTGCTCCACTCACGCAGGTTGAACAAAGAAAATTACATCTAGGAAATGCAATTCTTAAAGATTTTCAGGCTGTCCTATTAAGTTACCTTAATTTAGCATCTTGAAATTTGTTGAGGATAAAATGAGCTAGTATAGATTCAAACCTAAAAAAGTTTTACTTTACTGCCATCTAGAGGCAGCTATTTCATACACGCTGTCCTTTTTAAACAACAAAAGTTGCTTCCAAACTGGATGTAGAACAAAAGGAAAAGGTGGAAGGTTCTTTATAGGTAACTTCTCTGTACTTTCCTCAAAATTGTCCTTTCTCTAGTTAGGTGCTCAGCATGCATTGTCTGCTACTGAGTGAACCTAAATTCTGTTAGAAAATACCAATAGATTTATTTATTTAGACAGATCTTGGGGGAATTTGGTGTTTTACAAGAAGACTTCAGATATTCTTACTGCATCTTCTTTATAAGTTTAATTAAAAATAAAATCCTGTATACTTAGGATGATAGCACCCTCCTTATAGGACATCCAGTTAATAACAAGACAATTTAACTGGGGACCAGTTACAGACATTAAAACATCAAATAGGGATCCCTGGGTGGCGCAGCGGTTTGGCGCCTGCCTTTGGCCCAGGGCGCGATCCTGGAGACCCAGGATTGAATCCCACGTCGGGCTCCCGGTGCATGGAGCCTGCTTCTCCCTCTGCCTCTCTCTCTCTCTCTCTCTCTCTCTCTCTCTCTCTCTCTCTCTCTCTCTCTCTGTGTGACTATCATAAATAAATAAAAATTAAAAAAAAATTAAAAAATAAATAAATAAAACATCAAATAATGCTCCTTCAGACAACTTTATGAACTATCATCTGGATCTTTCAAAGACTAGTGTTGTCTGTATACATCAAAAGTGTATCTCTGAAAACTTCTAAATCTGTATATCCAAATATCAATTAATTAAATGCTATAGTTCTTTTTAATGAGGCCACAATATATGCAGACTATGTATTTTAAATTATTGGATAATTCAACAAATATAGCATCATTTTAGTAAAGAATAATATATTGAGTATTTAGTTTTGATAATAATTATCAATTGATATAAAATTGACAGTGTACACTAATTCTAAAATTGGAAAACAATATATTTTGACATATCAGGAATTGTTGAATGAGAAGAGGAGAGTCTTTAAAATATACAACTTAAAACCAATTTGATAGTATATGCTTTCTGGCATGAGCATAACTTTGTAAGAATTATTTATATAAGAAGATTTCTTATATAAGAAGACTTGCTATAGAAGAAAAGCATTAGGTAATTGTTTTCAGATAGAATGAGTATTTATCTGTTGGAAAACATAACACACATACCAGTTGGTGCTTAGCTAAATCCCTGTTTCCCCAGACAGAGGAAACTGTGGGATGTTTATTCACTTAGGAAAATTTCAAATTGTGTTTCTTCTTTAGTTTGAAATAATAGCTTACAGACATAATGTGGTATTTGAGTTAGAAAAACATTAGCCATTTCTGAAAAATATTTTCTAACTTTATGGCAGGAAGAGATCAAATTGGTGGACAAGTTTGTAATAAAAATCCCAGTGAATTAGGTTGAAAAAATGTAATTGTTTTTTCAGTTATAACTTACATAAATGACTGTGTCCTATAAGCCCATGGAGATCTATTCTTTCTTTATGAATAAGACCATAATAAATAAGCACATGTGAGTTTAGGATTAGAAGGTTAATAGACATTGTGGTTTCCTAAAGAAGATTTTATTCCAACTCTTTATATGAAAAATCTGTATCCAGTTCCAAGTTTTTGATCAACTCTTTCTACTGTTCTCAGTTCTTCCCACTACTTGCCAAACTCTTGTCTATTTAACACCTGGATCCGTACTGCCACCTTGTGCTATTCCTCTTGTCTGGTCAAATTCTTACTTCTTCCCTTGGGTACTCCTTATCTCTAATTTACTGGTTAGTCTTCCTCACATCTGTTCATGTTTTATCTTTGTATTTGAATTAGAACCTCTTCCAGGGTAGGACCTATGTTCACATTGGTCTTTGTTCCTATTAATAGTCTCTTCTGAATATTTCTTCAATGCATTTAAAGAGTAGAATAGTTAATATAACAACTGTCCCTGTCACTGTTTACCAAAAAGGAAGTAAAAATTAACTTTAGTCATTGATTTCACATTCATAACTCAAGTGTCTGCTTTGCCACATAAAGGAGTTGAAATGCTTGAGGATTTAGAATGAAATATAATTTCCCACTTTATTATGTTTGATGATTATCTTTTTTAAAACACATTTCATGGTTTCTTTCATTTCTCTATTTTTTGCAGCTTTTGTCATTCCTTCAGGGTTTATTTACTTTTTACCATGAGGGATATGAACTCGCCCAGGAATTTGCACCATATAAGCAACAGCTTCAGTTCAACTTGCAGAATGTAAGACAATACTTATTCTCACTGCCTCTCCTTTTTTTTTTTTTTAAGATTTTATTTATTCATGAGACACACACAGAGAGAGAGAGAGAGAGAGAGAGGCAGAGACACAGGCAGAGGGAGAAGCAGGCTCCATGCAGGGAGCCCGATGCGGGACTCGATCCCGGATCTCCAGGATCATGCCCTGGGCTGAAGGTGGCGCTAAACCGCTGAGCCACCTGGGCTGCCCTCTCAATGCCTCTCCTTAGTGAATCAGATGCTGACGAGAAACTAACTATAACCAAACCAAACCTTGGAGTGTTTAAAAAAACTTATCTAATTTAGGAAAGTCATCTAATAAATATATTAAAATGGGTTTTTTTTCCCTAGCTGCTGGTTTGAAAGTATACCAGTAAAGAACTATTCTTCGTATGTTATAAAAATTTAGGAACTTTCACAAAAATAAATATTACTGAGGTATAGATAATAGGTACTTGGAAGGTTGGAAACTTGCCTTTATCTAATGTTCTCATTATTTTACTGGGTGACCTTAGGCAAGTCTTTTTTTCTGAAAGGGTAACATTTTTATATTTGTGAAATGAAAAGGTTGTACATGAGCACTGAAGGAATATCTTTTTCCTCTCTGAAATTGCATGTAATATATATGCTATTTTAATTTCCTAAGAGTGAATTTAAATGGTTTTTAAGCAGTCGTAGCAACTGCTTTAAAGTTTAATTGAGATTTATAAACATCCTATCTATTTCTGTTAGGGTTTATGTTGTAAAGTTGTCTGATCCTTTTCATATCTGATTTCATAGTTATGCAAATTCAAATTTGCAGATGCTAAGCATCACTTACATTTAAAAAACAAAACAGAAGAAATGCCTGTATTATCAAACCTGACAAATAGGAAAGTCTATTTGTTGAGAATTTTTGTCAGTAAATGGAACTATGGGGTTGGAGTGTCCCATGAGAAATAGTAATTGGATTTATTTATTACTTGTGTTTGGCGTTTTAGCTTTTTTTATTTCTTCTAGATTTTCTAACAGAATTGGTTTCACATGTAAGTCATTACATTGTTTTTCAATATGGAATGAGTTTGGACTTTTTTAGTGAATATTAAAAGGAAAGATTGTTAAGGTCACAATATTTTATTACTTATTTCCATGTGTATTATAATTATATTAAGATTCCTACAGTTCAAGAACAAAAGAGGAATGTAAGGAATTGGAAAATTTCTGATCTTTATGTTTAAAAGAATTTGAAAAAAAAAACTTAAGAAGTAGCAAAAGTGGCAGTTAAGAAAATTTTCCTAACTTACTTTGGGATTCAGTTCTTTTATATGGGCCATAACAAATTTTAGAGTTGAGTGGTGCTGATATTTATACTTCTAAACATATTGCTTGCTTCTAAATAAACTATTGAGATAATATGGCCTGAATGCAAAAGAGATCAAGAAAAGCCTTATGCTTTTTATATCTTTTTTTTTTAAGATTTTATTTATTCATGAGAGACAGAAAGAGAGAGAGAGAGAGAGAGGCAGAGACACAGGCAGAGGGAGAAGCAGGCTCCATGCAGGGAGCCTGCTGTGGGACTCAATCCCGGATCTCCAGGAACATGGCCCAGGGCCGAAGGTGGCGCTAAACCGCTGAGCCACCTGGGCTGCCCTGCTTTTTATATCTCACTTTAAGTAAATTTGCTGTAATGTGGGTGAACTATTTTTTGTAATAGAAGTTAGAATTAATAAACATTCATTTTTATGAGTTAATTTATATACTAACCTCATGTAACTATTTCTGGAAAACAAGCTAAGTGATATTTCTTATTAAAAGTTTTAAGAATATGGGTGATGAATTTTTTTTTTTTTGCTAAGTGCCACATAAAGTTATGGAATTTATTTTGTCTTTATTCTCCAAAAGAAAATATAAGTCCCTATTCATCTGCTTTTTTTTTAACCTTAGATGTTAGTGAATATAAAACTGTTTCTTAAATATTACATTTTTAAATGCTCTGATTTGTCCCTAAGTAATAATGTTACAATAGGAAATAAGAATAAAATATACACATGCAGAAGGTCATTCAGAAGAGTTGAAAGCAAATCAAAATCAGACCATAGGTCTCAGTATATAGGGTCATGGGATGTGGTGTGTAGTGCTGAGAGAACAAGGTTATCCTTTGAACCACTTGTGGTTTTGAAACTTGAGACTGGAAGTTCCTCGAAACTGATAGGAAACAATAAATGAAATTGTTGTTTCTATTTACTTAAGACAAGGAATAATTTTGAAAGTACTCGACAAGAGGTAGAGCGGTTGATGCAAAGAATGAAATCTGCCAACCAGGATTACAGACCACCCAGCCAGTGGACAATGGAAGGCTACCTTTATGTCCAGGAGAAACGTGAGTCACAAAGACATACCCTAATGACTCTTAAGATTAATATTTTGTTTCTTTAAGATTTGACTTGGTTAGTGTTTTTCCTTCAAATAGGAAGACTGCAATTCCTTACAGCTTTATCATATTTAGTCTGCTCTCCCACTACCACCATCAAAGTGAGGAAGTTTATCCACATTTCGCCATCAGGATCTCCAAGTTGGCATATTATTGAACTTGGAACTTACAACCTTCACAGATGATACGGTAACATGAGTTCAGTTTTAGAATTTCATTGTAATAGCTAATCTCAATTTAAACTTTCATGGAAAATTGAAATTCAAAGCCTTTGTCAGTATGAATCATCCTAGTGACTATAATAAAACTTTTCTCTCTTCCTACAGTATTATTTCTTTTAATTCTATGCTCTATCAGTTTTCAGGAATAAAACTGGCAATTATGTAATGTCAAAATGGCACTCTTGACTTCCTGAGGTCAGGAAATAAGCATCAGACACAATAGGGCACTATAATAATTGCCTCACACTGAGAAAGTTTTTCTTACAAAAATTAATAAAAAGCCTTTAAATTTTGTATAAATAGGGTTCTTTCTGCACGATACTTGCATTGAGTGGAACCAATCTGACTAAATTAACTATTTCAAACCAGATATGCTCTAATGTATTAGTCTCATCCTGTTTGTGGTAAAGGAACAGTTGTTTTTATTTCCAATCCATGATGGACCTATGTCTTTGTAAAACAAAATCATATGCTTGGATTTTGCAGTAATGCCAAATCATTGTAAAAGTTTTGAAATGCCTATTTTTACTTTCTGTACTATTCTCATATATTGGGACACAAAAAACACATGGAGAGAGAGCACTGCTCTGAGGTCTCTGTATCAGTAGATGATACATTAATGAAGTTGTTTTGGTTAGTTAGTAAGATATAACTATAATATAAAACGTTAACTCTTTCAACTACAAGGATCAAGATGGGAAAGCTGGAGATACTGGGTTAGCTGTGAAAGTTTTTGACATAATGCAATGTAATTATTAAAATGCCAGCATATTTTATATTTACCATGGTCAGGTGATGCTCATTTATTGGATAGCAGTATACAAGCAAATAATGATTTGATCTAACAGACTCAGCAAATATTTATTACTCGTTGGATTAGATGATAGAGGGCTCCTGGTTCAGGAAATCTGGGTTTGAGGATTTTCTCTTAATCAGTATTGACTATGACCAGTCTGCTGTTTTTGGATGTTAAAATAAATCTAATGACCTGCCTAGCTATTCTGTAATTAGATCATAATAAACCACTTTCATTATAATTTCATGAAAAAAAAACTAATTCATTGGTCATTTATATACAAGGTATATAAATTTAACTCAAAACACTAAGGAAATTTTTAAATACTTGTTTTGAATGAGTGTTTCAGGTTTGAAAACCTCAGTGTGAGGGTATATTGAGAGGAGCTTACATCTTACATCAATAAAATATTTTGCTGAGCAGAAAAATGAGTTGATAAAGAGGCTTATTCAAACATGCATGTGGCAAAGGAGGTACTATCCTCTTTCTTAGAGCTTTTTTTAATATTAAGACTCAGTAATATTTATTATTTATTTTATTTTATTTTTATTTTATTTTATTTTATTTTATTTTATTTATTTATGAGAGACACAGAAAGAGAGAGGCAGAGACACAGGCAGAGAGAGAAGCAGGCTCCATGCAGGAGGCCCAATGCGGGACTGGATCCCAGGACTCTCAGGATCACACCCTGAGCAAAAGGCAGACACTCAACCGCTGAGCCATCCAGGCATCCCAGTAATATTTTATTTCTTGAGTTTGTTGGTTATTTTTTGTCCCTCAATGTTACATAGTTGCTAAAATCCTTGTGCGTATGTGATATTTTGTTCCAAAGAAAAAAGCTTTGGATTACCTAGCAAAATTATTTTGTATCAATGTATATCCTGTTTATTTGGTACTTGGGAGTCCATCCATTGGACAGTGTTGTAGTTTATTTATTCTATAGCTATTGGACATTTGGTTCAAACTATAAGCATAGGCCCTTTAATAACTTGGGAACCGCATGGGTACACAAAATGCAGTGTTTTATGCACCCATCTGATGTTGGCATCTTGTGTTTTAAGATATGTGACTTCCTCTGGGTCAGTCTGAGCTAATTTTTTTTTGGCAGGGGAGGGGATCTGAGCTAATTTTAAAGCCCTTTGTGCAATGACCTTTCCTCCGAAATTTGCTATCCTTCTAAGTGATACCACCCACCGTTCTAGGCTAAAAACTGGAGGTGTATCATTTACTCCAGTGTATCTCCTGTAACCTGGGGCCAACTCTGTCCATTTTATCTCCTTGATAACTTTTGAACGTCTACCTTCTCTCATCTCCACAGTCTTTCTTTGGCCTCATAATTGCTCTCGTTCTGCCTCTACGCTTGCCTGTCTAGTAATCCATCCTCCACAGAGCTTCTGGCACATCCCTCTAGATGCTGGCTTGTTGTGCCCCTCTTCTGACGGCCCCTTCATGTTGTGTGGCCTTTGAGGCTTGAACAGTTGGACTCTCCCTCTCTCTTTAGCATCCTCTCCTTGATGTTGACCTCCTACTCCTAAGATTATTTCATCTCAATTTTTTTTCTATATCTACCTGTGTTGTTTTTAGAGCTTTAGTGATGTACATTTGGCATACAATGAATTGCAAATATCTAAAACATATAATTTGTTAAGTTTTGTCATTATATACACACCTGTGAAACCATCACCACTGTGAATACATTCATCACCTTCAAAAATGCTCTGATGCCCTATTATAATCCCATCCTCCTTTCTTTTCCTATTCACCATCTCCTCACTTGTATTGTCTAGGGATTGGAAAAGAGAAATGGATGGATTTATACCCCTTTGGAATTATTTTTATATGAGGGACAAATATCCAAAGCCCCTTTCCACTTGGTATCTTTGAAAGTGTTTATAAGAAAATCAGACCAGTTCACTAAAACATATTGATTATGCTGTTGCCATCACCAAATGAGTAAGTTCTATGGGGAATAGAAGATGAGACAAAGAATTTGGCTCCAGGGTTTTTATTCTGTAGTGGAAGGCATAAAACAAACTCATGCAATTAGTAATCAGTGATCAATAATAAATATCAGAGCTGTAAATTGAGTGATAAACAGAGATGGATGTGATGGGGTGGTGGTAGCAGATCATTGCAGTTTGGACATAGAGCTCCACTTTATCAGGATATGTGGTTTTTACGCACTTCTAGGCATACATTACATTGCGTTCTAATAGACTTCATTGTATTTATTTATTTATTTATTTACTTATTTTTAATTTAAATTTTAGTTAAAACACACTACAATATTGGTTTCTGGAGTAGAATTCAGTGATTCATCACTTACATACCGCACCCAGTGCTAATCACAAGTGCACTCCTTAATACCCATCACCATCTAGCCCCTCCTCCACCTACCTCCCTCAGTTTGTTCTCTATTGTTAAGAATCTCATGGTTTGTTTCTCTCTCTCTCCTTTTCCCCCCTTCCCATATGTCTATTTTCTTTCTTAAATTCCACATAAGTGAGAGCATATGGTATTTGTTTTTCTCTGACTGACTTATTTCACTTAGCATAATATACTCTAGCTTCAACCACGTCATTGCAAATGGCAAGATTTCATTCTTGGCTGAATAATATTCCATTGTTTATATAGAGTACATCTTCTTAACAAATTCATCAGTTGATGGATACTTGAGCTCTCTCCATAGTTTGGCTATTGTTCATAATGCTGTTGTAAATATTGGGGTGCATGTACCCCTTTGAATCTGTATTTTTGTATGTTTTGAGTAAATACCTAGTAGTGCAATTACTGGATTGTAGAGTAGTTAATAGACTTCATTTTAAATAGGAAGAATGTGGTTCCAAAGTTAGACCTATATTGGAATTCCATGCCTGTCATCTGTTATTGGGTGATTCTGGACAATTTTTTAGCTCAGTATCTTTGTTTATTATTTTTTTCAGTATCTTTGTTTATAAAAGAAAGCTATTCATACCTATGTAGTAATGATGTTATAAGAATAGAGGTGATATATGTAAAATGTCTCTATTCTCTATAGAGAATAATACTTACCATGAACATTTACTGTTCCATGCAATTTATATTTATCTCATTAGATTCTTTAAACAACTATTGAGAACTTATTCTTCCTCTAAAGAGAACAGATAAATCACATGCCCTATTGATGGATAAAGTAGTTTCATCTCCAGCTCTTAGGCTACATTTTCTTTTCTTTTTTTTTTTAAGATTTTATTTATTCATCCATAAGAGACACACACAGAGAGAGAGGCAGAGAATCAGGTAGAGGGGAGAAGCAGGCTCCATGCAGGGAACCCAACGTGGTACTCGATCCCGGGTCTCCAGGATGACTCCCCGGGCTGAAGGCAGGGCTAAACCGCTGAGCCAGCAGGGCTGCCCTAGGCTACATTTTCTTAAACAAGAAATGCTCTTTATAATGTCTGAGTTAACCTGCCTTCTCATCACAGTTGAGAAGTGCATGATTCTCATATGATGTCTGACTTAAAAACTTTCTAGATAAAATATGGGCGCTTAGTAGATATTTAGTGAATGTTATGGGAAGAGTCCCATTCCACAAGTATCATCTCAGCAACCTCAGATGATTACTGGGTAAGATAATTAAACTTGTTTTATTTTATTTATTTTTTTAAAGATCTCTTTATTTTAGAGAGAGGGAGAGCGTGCAGGGGGAAGGGGATGGGCAAAGGAAGAGGCGAGAGAGAATTCAAGCAGATTCCATCATATTGAGTGTGGAGCCTGATGCAGGCTCAATCCCAGGACATTGAAGTCACTACCTAAGCCGACCAAGAGTTGGATGCTTAACCAACTACACCACCCAGGTGCCCCTAAACTTGTTTTATCTTGCAGCTTTAGATATATAATAAAGTTTTATTTTCCCACCCTTTTTTTAAGGACTTAGGAATTTCTTATCTGAGAACATCTGCTCTGGCCTAGTGACAAGCAACTTTAAAGGAAGTAGCATGTGTGCATAGGAAACTTGAAGATTAAATGCATGATGTTCTGAACTTAAGGTGTAGACAAGAAAAAAACAACTTGGTCTAAAATGTCATCAGAGCCTTGCACAGCTTTATTTAAAAATTACTGCTGATATTGCTTTGTAAATTGCTTCCTAAGTAATAAAGTCACTATAAGAATTTTCATCCAGTCACTTTCCACTAATCAGCTCTAAGCCTTTAAGTATTTTTACTTGTGACAGAATTATCAACAAGTATGCTTAGGTACTATAGTTGAAATGGCCCTAAAACAAAATTGAAGTTTATTATAATAATCCTTTGTGATTGCAAAGTATATAGCTGTATCTGTAATTTTGAGATCTGGGGTTAAGTATTTTAAAGCTAAATATGACATGAAGGGCACTGTTATTACAGAAAAAAATTCAAATGCCTAAGGACACACTTTTCTCAAGTAGTGCATTTTTACAATTTCTTACTTTTAAATATATGGTTATGAAACCACACCAGCAATAATATTGTATGTAATTGTTGCTAGAAAGATGCTAGTGTTAGGCAGGATGGGACCCTAGATGGAGAACTTGTATAGAAAACAAACTCCATTTTCAACCCTCTCAGCCCACTGCGGTGTTTGGATGCAGGATAAATGGCTTCCCTGTGGGAAAACTGACAGTCTTCTACCTTGGTCATGGAAAAATTGAACTCACCATGCATCCCTATTCCCTGGTGAAGCAGCAGCATCTAGTTCCTTAAGGAGAATACAGGAGAGTAATGTGGTATGCTATAGGAAAGAGTTGCACAGTATTTACAGGGGGAAAAAGAAGCATTATACATATGTAACTTTCTTTTAAAATGAAAAGTAAAAGTTATTTTCACTTTAAGGAGTTATTTGAGTTTGCTTTTTTTTCCCAGATAGGTGGTAAGAGGACATAATTCCAAGGTTAAGTTAAGTCTTCCTTCATTCATTTGTCAAGAATTTATTGAGCAATAGCTAATGTCTGGCCCTGTTCTAAGGATTAAGAATGTACTACTAAACAGAACAACACATGTTCCTGCTCTCATACAGCCTAAGAGTCCAGTGGCAGAAACAGACCATAAATAGAATAAATTTGTAAAAAATTTGTAAAATAAAATTGTAAAATTTGTAAAATGTATCCTATTTTAGACAGTAATAACTGCTAGGAAGAAAACAAAGCAAGAAAGAGATAAGAAGTACTGAGGTGAGAGTGATGCCGTGTTAGCTATCTCTTCAGGAAGAGCCGCATTATAAAGATGTCATTTAGGAAGAGACCTGGAGGAAGTGACAATGCAAGCCTAACAGATGTCTGGAGCAAAAGTAGTCCAGGTCAGGAGAACAAAATGTCCACATGTGTGGGGCAGCAGTGCATCCCCGGTGTTCACAGACCAGCAAGGCGGCAGTGCGGTGTTGCTAGAGCAGAGGACATGAGGCAGAAGGTAATACGATGTGTAGTGAGATCTGTAATGAGGGGCCAGATCATGTGAGGCTCTGCGTATAATAAATAGGCTCTTTAGTGTTCACCTGGAGTGAAATGGGAAGCCACTGGAGGGTTTGGAGCAAAGTGGATGAAATGAACTGGCTAGATTTTTAGTAGAGTATGTCTTACAGTTTTAAAAATAAAGGACAAGGATTAGAAGTAAGGAGATCAGTTATTGTAACTAAGGCTAATTTCTCTTTCTTGCTACTTCTTTGGAAAGTAAGGTATGCCACTTTTACTGAGGAGATAACTGAAATTCAGATCTAAAGTGACTCTTGAGTTACAAGGCAGTATCATCGTTGCAAACAAGTAAAGCCAACTTTGATTCCCAGACATTCAATTCCATACAACTCTCTCCCTCTACACTGGCCTTTCTCACCGTATTGCATGGCCTGTGGAGATGGTCAGTTGTGTATCATAGCATCAAAAACTGTACAAACATAGTCCCAAATCATTTGTTTACAACCTAATGTTTGCTTCCTTACAACAGGACCACTTGGTTTTACATGGATTAAACATTATTGTACATACGATAAGGGAAGTAAAACATTTACAATGAGTGTTTCAGAAATGAAATCCAGTGGGAAAATGGTGAGTTTTCCTTTTTTTTTTAAACTGAGCTCATTAGTAAAGTAATGGAAGTTAAAAAAAAAAGTCATATTTGCTTGCTTTTCTAATTAACATGTAAACAAATTTTAAAAATTGCAAAGTCAATAAGTTTTCTCTAACTTCAGTGATCTTGATGACTTAAAAAGAGAGGCAAGCATCTTCCTTTGCCTTACCATGGAATATTTTTAATACTCAGTTGAGTTAAATGTAGGGAACTTTTGGTGGACCACAGAGGTGACTTCTCACATCCCTGGCGGAGTTGTTTTGCTGCTACTTGGCTGGCAGCTCAGTAGAGACTCCTAACGACTGAACCAGGCTTAAGGACTCTGCATCTTTCTCCAAGTCACCTCTGTGGGAGGCTGCCTTTTGCCCCTGCTTGCCACTTCCTCTTCTATACTGTGTATTGTTTACTGAAGTGCTGACCAGCAAAGTTTCTCAGAAGAAATCAGTTGATGCCCATTTACTCCAAAAGTAAATTGGTCACTGAATGTCTTGCATGGCTAGTGAACAGTATAGAATAAAGTGTACTTGATATAAGGAATTGCTACAGAGTACACCTTTATTGTTCATAGTGTGTAATCTTTTTGTGAATTATGATGTGAATATGGCAAATGAACTTAAAAATCAGGTAATTGGGACCATCATCTAAGAATCCTAGAGCTGAGAGTTATCCTAAAGATTATTTAGTCCAGCCTTATTTTAGCAGATTAGAAAATCAAGGTGGTTGAAAGTAAGTGACTCATCCAGCTAATTTGTGTCATAGATCATAGCAGAGGTAAGTGCTGATCTAACTTAGATATGTGCTCAAATACATCAGCTGAAACTTATTGTGCTTGGGCATTCAATAGAGCCTAATAATTAAAGTGGAAAGACATAATACAAAGGAGAACATACAAGAGTAAAAGAAACCTTCAATTCCTACCATCATGAGAAGTTAAGTGCTATAATCATGCCTAGTGTGTGCTTTAAAAGTTTCATAAGACAAGATGTTGCCTGAAAGTCAGGTATGTGGCAGTCAGTGAGCTGTTAGCAAACAGACCCAAGCCAAAGTTCTGTCAATAAATCTATGATCTTCGTAACCAAAGATAGTATAATTAACCAGACCATAGGTAAATATTCCCCTTAAGGTGACTGGTATCTCGGATATAGAAGAGAATTCTTATGACTTGAGCTTATGTTGGATCCTATCCAAATAGTTATAGTTTTAATTGCAGGGTAGCAGTTGGTTACCAGCAAAGCAGTCATGCAGTGTGTATGATAGCAACATATTTACAATAAGTAAATACTAGAAATGTATTATTTTTGTAGCTCTCCTGAGACTTTGGGCCAGTTATCATTTAGTACTATAAGGCTCTAATGCACAAACACACACTGTGTGTGCACACATACTTGCGCACAAAGAACAGTTCTAATCTCTTAGCAATTTAGAGCGTTTTGATGCCAAAGCCACAGTGTTGTATACTGACAGGCATTCTGTATATCTAACTGTGACATTATGGTAACTGTGATTTCATACTTTTTCTAAATCTGAAGTCCTACAGAATGTACATTGTGGTGCAATTTAACGTAAGTAAATATGTTAAGACTACTAGACAGGCATGTCACAGAATTCTTCTATTAAAACGTGTATACGTTATTAATTTACTAATTGTATTGTAATTGTATTATAATTGGGCAGTTAACATTAGACAAAAAGTCTGTATTCAGAGGTAAAGATTTGATTATGACCCTTATACATAACCTGTACTCAAAGTTAACATTTAATGCAGCAACCTTAGTTGACATATTTAATATTTTCCAGTTGCCCTTGTCATCGTGTCAATAATATGATCTCCTTCTTGTTTCAGAATGGCCTCGTTACTGGTTCACCAGAAATGTTTAAATTGAAATCTTGTATCCGACGAAAGACAGATTCAATTGACAAACGATTCTGCTTTGACATAGAAGTAGTTGAAAGGTTTGAGGTTTTCTTTTCACTTTATATTTTTTAATAAACTGAAGTATTTGTTTCTATGTTTAGATATAAATATGAAACAACACACAAGTACTTGTTTTTCAATCTTTAAAGCCAGTGTACATATTTATTTCATTCTTTTATGTATTTATTGAACAAGTACATGTTGGATGATGCTTTCAAAAGTAAATCAGACAATGAATGCTAGCAAAAAGCAACATCACTCAGAGAATATGGGGAATCGACATAAATGACTAGATTAGGGGCTGTGTGCTGGACTTGAGTTCTGTCACTGTGTATGACCCTGACAATACTGTTCACCACTCCTGGATAAGCCTTGTTGTACACTTTGGAAGTCTGGTGCCCTTGCTTCCAAGTAGGATTAAGACACAGCTGAGAGTGCCATAAGTTTCCTTCAGCCAGTGAAATTCAGTTCCTGCTCTGTGCGGAGCACCATTCTGGACATTCTTAGCCACAGGTTATTGGGAGAGACATAAATGTTGTGCATGCGAGTTTATAATCTAGTGGGGGATTTTAGCTCTACTTTTTTTTCTTGTATCTATACAAGAAGAACAGAAACTAAATAAGAATGGGTATACTTCTTGATCTCTGTTGTATTCCATGATCTATTTTTCTTCCCCTGCATTACAACCATACTTTTCTGAATACTCTAGCTTTGTGTGTGTGCACTATATTAAATGCATACTACATATACTCATATATACTAACATTTACATATATGTAGCTTGTAACTACTTAGTAGGGCAAGACCCCTGTTTTTTATGCTTCTTTAAAATCGTGTTAAATATTTTGGCACTGTGTTCTTAGATTTTATGGATCTACTTACTAAATTTCCCTTATTTTCCAAAAAAATCCTTTGGGATTTTTGACTGGAGTGGCATTAAAGTTATTAATTAATTGATGGAAAGTTGAACTCTCTTTGAAGATTTTACTTTTTTAAGATTTATTCTTGAGTGTCTTTATTGCAATTTTGAATAGAATTCATTAATATATATATTTTTCTAAATGGGTTGAGACTCGTATCAAAAGGCTATTGATCTTCTTAATATATCATTCTATATCTAGCATAGTTGTTGAGCTTCTTATTGATTTTAATAGTTATGGTAGTAATTTCTGGATTTTCTATGTAGACAGATGCCAACATGCTCATATTTTTTTTTTAATTTCAGCACTTTTTAGTTCTTTACCCCGGGGGCACATTGTTAAATTGTGCTTTGGTTGTCTCACCCATAAAATAAGGATAATAAGTACCCACCTCAAAGGGTTCCCGCAAGGATTAAATGAGATTAAAAAAATGGAAACACACTTATAACATAGTGCCTCGTAATAATAAACAGCTAACAAATATTGTTATTTTATTATTTTTTGTTGATACTCGCCTAGATTCTCTAAGACTGAATGATCTTGATCTTCATATATGATTTTCCTTTTCCTGTCATCTGTTTTCCTGTTTACACAAGAGATGATATGCCTTCGTTGCAGTTATAAGTCATGCCAGTTTTCAATCATACAATATTTAACTGAAATCTCCTCCTCAATGTACCTCTTCACAGAGTCTTCTAATTTCCTGTTTAAATTTATTTTCTCGACAATCTGCATAGTTAACTAAGTTAATTTAACTGTTTCTGCATTTGGGGTTTTTTCTATCTTATAATGCTTTCCTCCTTCCCTCTGCTTGCTCTGTCTCTCCTGAAGTACGTCCTTAAGTAACTATTTCAGAATGGGTACATGGGAAAGATTGGTTTTTAAGTGAATTAATTTTAATATTGTGATCATGGTGTAGATGAACACTATGGTTTTAGTGTCTTCTTAATTAATCATGGTATGAAAGTTTTGTATTAGTACATTCTTATTGTAATTATTTTTGTGACCAGATGGTACCATATTGGGGTCATAAGTTTAATCATTCTCCTGTTGTAGAATATTTAGGTGGTTCTGAGCTTTGGTGAATGTAAGTTTGTCATCTTTTTTGGTCATTTCAGAGGAAATAGTTTGAAACTAGCCTTCTTAAGGCAGTCATACCTAAATCAATGATTTTACTACCTGCAAACCATTAAAATTAAAAAAAATATTTGTTTGTGTGTGTGTATATGTGTATATGTCCCACAGGGATTTTTCTAAAAGGTAACTATAAATCAGTCTTTTCCTTTTCATTTTATAAATTCTTTTTTTTCTTCTCTTTTCTCTTCAGTTTTTTCTTTCCTGCTTTTTCTTCAAATTTTATCTTTAAGAATACAAAAAAATGTGTAAAGATATAACAGGAATACACTGAATATATAAAATATTTGTTTTTAATAGGCATGGAATCATCACATTGCAGGCATTCTCAGAAGCTAATCGGAAACTCTGGCTTGAAGCCATGGATGGGAAAGAACCGGTAAGAATGTGGCACATTCTATAATTTAGGTTTATCATTCTAATTACAAAGTACATCTGAAATTTTGTATGTCTGTAGTATATTTGAAGATATTAAGATTGTAAATCAGAGGAGTAGAAACTGTTTTTCTAGTGTTGTCTCACTCACTAGCACATAACACTAATTTGTTTCAAATTTCTAATTTGTTTCTCAGGGGGACTTCCAGGACTGATTTAAAATCCTAAAATTATTTTTTAACAAATTACTTATTGCTAACTTGGCTTTGCTGATCGCATTATTTTATTCATGTAATAGTTGAGTCCCCACTTTTTGCATGGCCTGTGCTAGGCTTCATGATCAGTCTGATGAGCAAAGGTTCAGGGTAAGAACTAATCCTGTGCTCTATATCATTGTTTGAAAGTCTCATTAGATGGGGTGCCTGGGTGGCTCAGTCATTTAAGTGTCCAACTCTTGATTTCAGCTTACGTCTTGAGATAGAGCTCCACGTGGGCTCCGTGCTCAGCAGGGAGTCAGCTTGTGATTCTCTCTCTCCCTCTCCCTCTGACCCTTCCCCCCAAATAAATAAATAAATCTTTTTTAAGAAGTCTCATTTGGAAAATGGCCTCCTAGCTTGACATTTTCCCCTCCATCTATATCTCCACTGTTTTAATAATTATTTCAATGTGGGCATGAAAATTTACTTAAAATTATTAGGGAGGCTTATGTAAAAAAGGGAATAAATCATCGATTACTGTCTGTTCTTTGTGAAGAACACTGCACTGAACAGTTGGAGGTATGAACACATAAGGAAATGAGAAGACCCTATTCTGTCCTTTGAAACTATCCTTTAGTTGTTAAAGAATCTATGAAAAACCTTGTGCAAAGTACCTATGCAAAACACAGCTGGACTTTGAGGCCACCTCTCAAATTGTTACCAGTCCACAATAAAATGAGTACAGAAATTATGATCAAGTATCTGGAAAAATTTACAGCAATTTGGAGAAGTCACTTTATATCTATTGAGTTTAATAATACAAAAATTGGATTTTGCATCTATTCCTTATAATGTTTATTATGTTTTTATTTTATTATAGCTTACAAAAATATCAGCCACTTACAAATTAAAAATTAAAACAAAGGATCCCTGGGTGGCGCAGTGGTTTGGCGCCTGCCTTTGGCCCAGGGCACGATCCTAGAGACCCGGGATCGAGTCCCACGTCGGGCTCCCAGTGCATGGAGCCTGCTTCTCCCTCTGCCTGTGTCTCTGCCTCTCTCTCTCTCTCTCTCTCTCTCTCTCTCTGTGACTATCATAAATAAATTAATTAATTAATTAATTAATTTAAAAAATTAAAGCAAAATGACTCTTTGCCACTAAGTTGTGAGGTAAGCCCTCACCTAGAGCAAATTTAGATGATATGATAGCTCAGAAAGAAGTTAGGGTTGTAGATGTTGAGAACAAAACACTAAGGAATTAATTTGTAGAAGGAGTAATCTGGCAAAATCCATCCTCAGATCCTTCCTGAAAAAGAGATATATATATACTGTGCATCAGTCCGGTAATAGAATGAGATACATAAATCATGTGGAAGGGGGACAGCCATGATGGAAAGAAGTGGGAAGCAAGGTAGGTTGACAGGATTGGGAGTTGGCCCTATGGACGCACCAGTTGTAGGACCCTGAAATCAAGATACTCCCTCTGTGTATCATTGTCCAACATCACCCTGCTTCTGTGCAAGGTCATTGACTGATTAGATTTCTTTGTTTTTTAGATTTACACCCTGCCTGCCATTATTAGCAAGAAAGAAGAAAGTAAGTTGTTTTAATAATTATTTAAAATTTTATCACTTTTTTTTAATCACTAAGGCATTATGTGATATTAAGAGTTAATTCTGGGAAAATAGTAGTAACATATCATTGATCTGACAGTTCAGCAAGTTTAAAATTTTCATTCAAAGAAGTTTCTCAGGTCAAAGCCACTAACTATTGGTGTGATACTAACTAAAATTAATTTTTATTTATTTGGTGTTTATTTACTCATAGATATGTACCTGGCTTTATCCCAGGAAGAAATTTGAAGCAGTTGATATTTAGTTTGTTTTTTTTTAAATATTTTTAATGGCAGTAGAGAGCTGCTTTATTTTAGTTTCCCTATTCCAGTGACAAGACTGAAGACCTGAATAATTTGTGCTGGTTTTAGGAGATTGTACTTAAAAGTGTGATGTATAAAGGCATTGTCATAACACATGGGATATATAAGAAAACCTGTTGTCTCACTGTAGAATCACTGAATCTTTAGTATTAAAATATTCTTAATAAACACATTTTATGTGTTTTCCATCAATTTCTAAACCTTTAATCATCAGCCACCTTTTTGTCACCTTTTACCTTTAGGATATTTTCTTTTTTATGTACTCTGTGTGATCAGATTATTTGACATTTAAAAATTAGTTTGTGTATTTGTTCCTAAGGTTATGTGTATATCTTCTAAAGCAATTTCAAGCTTTATTTAAGTCAATTGATTTTGTCTTATGATCTCTAAATTTATTTTTAAAATAGGCTTAATTGTAACCCTGATTTTTAAATTGCTAACAAAATGCAACTTAAAATGGAGTAAAGATAAAAACTAGGAAGGTGCTCCTTTGAAAGTCATAGATATTGAGTATATGAAAAAGTCTATTATTTTAACTGAATGAAATGCTCTCTAGTAATATTTCAGAGATTATCAAAAGAAAAAATATGATTTAAAATACTCTTAATGTTAAAGACTTAAAAAACTATTTCCACTTTTTATTCTTGGATTTATTTATTCCAAATCAAGGAAAGTGATTAGTATAAAATATGTATCTAATCACAGAATATTAACCAACAGGTAAGTACCAAATGTTCATTCTAAACAATTACCTAAAGAACAATATGTTGAATATTTTGCATTTGTGTACAGTTTGAAATGTGTTTTCTAATACTGGTTTCATCTTTCATATATAGTATAAAGATAGTTCGTTCTTTCAACTTCAAATGAACCTACTCAAAAATGAATCCTTAGAAAACAATTGAAACTATATATGGTATTGAATTAGGCTTTAAATGGGAGCATGGTGATGTCAGCGAAAATATATTTGATCTTTAACGCACTTCTGGGAATAGAGTTTCTATCATAACTAGGAAATTTGAATAAGAAAGTTACCACATGTAGTCATACTGTAATGGAGGGGGAATCTGATTCTTTTTGCCTTAAAGACTCTTCCAGAAATCCGCTTTCCGGTAGCCACTTGACACATAACTGTGCCACCATTTGTAATTATAAAATGGTGTGTTTTTCAGAAAAATAGCTATCCTAGAATCTATGTGTGTAGTCACTTCTCACATTTTTCCTTTTGATACAGTGTTTTAGTATCCTACTTAGTTCTCTGAGTAACTTGTGACCGAACAGAACTCTTGTCCCCTTCTTCTTAGTACTCAGTATAGGCCTTCCATGAGGTACGTGTGCTCATCACACATTTGCTCTTATTGTTGTTCTTAGTGCCAGTAGGCTTTTATTTCTCAAGGGGAGATTTTGATCATAGAACAGAATATTATGTTTGCTTTATTAATATGTAGTGCTTAAAGTTATAGATCTTAACCTTAGTTTTAAGATTTATTTTTATTATTTTATCTTAAGCTATATTTTTCCTTTCAGCCTATTTTTATGTACAGATCTTATTTTATGTATAAGTGTCCCAAGTTTTTTAAATGTCATTTTCACTTTATGTTTTTTCATAAACTTGGTAGAATTTCCCCATTTTTACATTTAGTTAATGAAGCTTTTTTTTTTTTTTTTTTTTTTTAGACATATCAAGATATAACTACAAAGCTAGTAAATCTTATTCTCCCAAATGCAGTACCCTAATAAGACGAGTTCCTGATTCTGGCTAATATAATCTTTCTAAACCCAGTGGTATCTTCTGTAATCTAGTAAATTGGCTTATAAATGCTGACATTAGTATCTTTTTTAAGCATTCTAAACATTTTAAATAAATTAGAAGTAAAATTGTGTAGTGATTTCAAAAAGTCTTACTATGTGGGCATAAAGTCAACTTATCCAAATTCCACTTATTTCTGATTGTTTTTCCACATTCTTGGAAACTCAAATCTGTTTACCCAAGGAGAATCACAGCTCTACTGAAAAGATAAGATTATGCGTAGCATGGGCCATCAATAAAAAGAAACTCTAACTAATGGAGGCACAGGATTGAATGTAAGCTCCCTTAAGCAGTGGGGTGGACATTTTGGTGTTGCCAATTTATATGAGTAAGGTTTTCTAAATATTCCTCAATCTAACATTTACTGAAGTCCTTTTCATTACCTGTCTCAGACTAGTCGATGGGCTTTCCAGGTCCTCAGAATTTAATATTTTTGCATGTAATTTTAAACGTTTTATTACATCAAGGCCTAAAATGTATTAGTGGGGGAAGCCTGGGTGGCTCAGTGGTTTAGCGCCTGCCCTCAGCCCAGGGCATGATCTTGGAGACCTGGGATCAAGTCCCATGTCCGGCTCCCTGCATGGAGCCTACTTTTCTCTCTGCCTGTGTCTCTGCCTCTCTCTCTGTCTCTCATGAATAAATAAAATCTTTAAAAAAATAAAAAATAGGATAGAGGAGGGGCAAGATGGCGGAGGAGTAGGGTCCCCAAATCACCTGTCCCCAACAAATTACCTAGATAACCTTCAAACCATCCTGAAAATCTACGAATTCGGCCTGAGATTTAAAGAGAGACCAGCTGGAATGCTACAGTGAGAGGAGTTCACGCTTCTATCAAGGTAGGAAGACGGGGAAAAGAAATAAAGAAACAAAAGGCCTCCGAGGGGGAGGGGCCCCGGAGGAGCCGGGCTGAGGCCGGGGCGAGTGTCCCCAGGACAGGAGAGCCCCGTCCCGGAGGAGCAGGAGCTGCACCAACCTTCCGGGCGGGCGGAAAGGGGCTCGCAGGGAGTTGGAGCAGGACCCAGGAGGGCGGGGATGCCCTCGGGCTCCCGGGGACACTAACAGGCACCTGCAAGCGCAGGAGAGTGCCCGAGCTCCCTAAGGGCTGCAGCACGCACCGGAGCAGTTCGGAGGGGCTCGGGAGCGGCTCCAGGGAGGGAGCTGCGGGGCGGGAGCGCAAATCCAACAACACAGGCCCGGGAGCACAGGGCGCCGGGACACAGCCCAGGATCCGGCCTCCCCCCGGGACAGGCAGAGGCCGGGAGGGCCCAGGACAGCAAGGACGCTCCTGCCCCGAGCTGAGCAGATCAGCGGCCCCGCCCCGGAGCCTCCAGGCCCTGCGGACGGAGAGCCGAGAGCCCCGAGCCCCGTAGTTCCTGCGGAGACTGAATCCAGGCTTCCAGAGTTGCCATAGCAACTGCCACTGATCCTCCTGAGACCTCACGGGGTAAACAACCCCCGCTGAGCCCTGCAGCAGGCAGGGGCAGAGCAGCTCCCCCAAGTGCTAACACCTGAAAATCAGCGCAACAGGCCCCTCCCCCAGAAGACCAGCTGGACGGACCAGTTCCAGGGGAAGTCAAGGGACTTAAACTCTACAGAAATACTCCCCCGTGTTTTTTTTTTTCTTTTCTTTTTTCTTTTCTTTTTGATTTCTGATTGCTTCCCCCACCCCCTTTTTTTTTCACCTTTCTTTCTTTTTCTTTCCCTTTTTCTTCTCTTCTTTCCTTTTTCTTTTCTTTTTCTTTTTTCTTTTTCTCTTTTCTTTCCTTCTCTCTCTTTCTCTCATTCTCCCAATACAACTTGTTTTTGGCCACTCCGCACTGAGCAAAATGACTAGAAGGAAAACCTCACCTCAAAAGAAAGAATCAGAAACAGCCCTCTCTCCCACAGAGCTACAAAATCTGGATTACAATTCAATGTCAGAAAGCCAATTCAGAAGCACTATTATACAGCTACTGGTGGCTCTAGAAAAAAGCATTAAGGACTCACGAGACTTCATGACTGCAGAATTTAGATCCAATCAGGCAGAAATTAAAAATCAACTGAATGAGATGCAATCCAAACTAGAAGTCCTAACGACGAGGGTTAACGAGGTGGAAGAACGAGTGAGTGACATAGAAGACAAGTTAATGGCAAAGAGGGAAACTGAGGAAAAAAGAGATAAACAATTAAAGAACCATGAAGACAGATTAAGGGAAATAAATGACACTCTAAGGAAGAAAAATCTACGTTTAATTGGGGTTCCCGAGGGCGCCGAAAGGGACAGAGGGCCAGAATATGTATTTGAACAAATCCTAGCTGAAAACTTTCCCAATCTGGGAAGGGAAACAGGCATTCAGATCCAGGAAATAGAGAGATCCCCCCCTAAAATCAATAAAAACCGTTCAACACCTCGACATCTAATAGTGAAGCTTGCAAATTCCAAAGATAAAGAGAAGATCCTTAAAGCAGCAAGAGACAAGAAGTCCCTGACTTTCATGGGGAGGAATATTAGGGTAACAGCAGACCTCTCCACAGAGACCTGGCAGGCCAGAAAGGGCTGGCAGGATATATTCAGGGTCCTAAATGAGAAGAACATGCAACCAAGAATACTTTATCCAGCAAGGCTCTCATTCAAAATGGAAGGAGAGATAAAGAGCTTCCAAGACAGGCAGGAACTGAAAGAATATGTGACCTCCAAACCAGCTCTGCAAGAAATTTTAAGGGGGACTCTTAAAATTCCCCTTTAAGAAGAAGTTCAGTGGAACAATCCACAAAAACAAGGACTAAATAGATATCATGATGACACTAAACTCATATCTGTCAATAGTAACTCTGAACGTGAACGGGCTTAATGACCCCATCAAAAGGCGC